GCACTCACGGGGAAGAGGCCAGGGCCGTCCTTCTCCAGCTGCTTGGAGGTCTCCTTCTCAAAGCCTACAAACAGGGAAACACAACATTTCAGCTGCCTGGAATCCACACTGCGGCTGGACGTGCGGATTTGCGGGGACAGAGGGGTGCATGGCGGAGTCTCCACGTGCCCCCGCTTCCTCCCCTGAAAGCTTCCTTGCCCACTGGCTCCTGTCCCCATGTGGGAGGGGGATGCATCCTGGTCCCTGGCTCCCCTCCTTGCACCAGGAGGGGGAGGATGCACCCCGGCTCCTGGCTCCCCTCCTTGCACCGGGGGGGGATGCACCCCCGCCCCACTCCTCGCACCGGCCGAGGGGGGGGGAGCGGCCGCGGGGGGGGATGCACCCCCGTCAGCCTCTCCTGCACTCCCAGGAGTGGAAACCAACACTTCCCTCTGGTGGCAACCCAGCCCTGTGCATCTGTCCCGGCAGCTGCCATCCCAGCGATTCCCCAGGCCCCTGGAGGGCTGTGAAGACAGGAAGGTGCAGGGGCTGTTTTACATTTTGCAAGCTGGGCTGGCTCACGTGGGGCAGGAGGCGCTCCGCGAGCACCAGCGGCACCGCCAGCCCTGCGCGCGGGATAAACCGCAGCTGCTCTGTCCGCTCTGAATAGCGCAAATCTCAGCCTCGCGCCAGCTGGGCCTGGTGCAGGCAAACGGAGGTGCCACATGGCCCATCTATTCTTGACAGCAGCACTGGAAAGAAGATAAAAGCCGTCTCCTCTAGTCTCCCGTGCTCCGGACACCCTGCCATCTCACATAACTTGGGATATAATTTATGAACCTCAACTCCTAAACAACTGGGAACATGATCCATTATTCATCCGCAAACTGGGCCAAGAACCGCGAGCTCCTAGGACACAGCCACGAAAGGAAGGAGGCAGCGCAAGGCTCCGCGCCCAGAGCTGCCGTCCGCCTTGCGCCCGCGCCGCGGCTGCGTGCCAGCTCCATCACCACGGCGGGCGCCGAGCCCGTCCACGCCTGCTCGGCCCCCCGAGGGCGGCCGCAGCAAATACAGCCTCCCGGACCCTCAGTTAACTACCGACATTTTCCTCCTTTGAGAGGCAAAGGACTGTTTTGCAAAGGACAAAACACCTCCTGAGAGCTCTGCAGCTCCTCGCAGCATTCCAGAGAAATGATTAATGAATAAATGCACAGCAGAGAGCTGCAAATCTTCAGTGTGGTGGCTTCTGTCATTTGCACCTATAACTTCAATATTGATTACATGTCGGGTTGCCTGGCTTTTAATTATTTTTTAATGGATTGGTCAGAGCAGCAAATTACGTAGCAGACAGACAGCGAAATACCACCCAGAGCATCAGCAGAGATCTTCCATAGCAACCCGGAGAGCTGCATTAACCCCGGCCGCGGTGCTTCAGGGCGCCACGGCACGACGGCCCTGCGGGGAGGCTCTGCG